GAATCTAAGCCATATAGGTATTATTTTGAAAGTCTTCCAAATTCTTGTTCTATGAGTTAAATTATTTAAAATCTATATCCCAATAACACAAGATTTTAATAGAATCATAAAATCTTTAAAAGCCAAACTTTTGAATAACAAAGGATTTTGGATGAAATTTTAAAATCTTTAAAACAATAAGAATGAATTCTAATAAGATTTTAAGAATCAATAAACAATGAAATCTCAAAGTTCTCAAAAACTACATAAATTTCTGTCCCAATAACCCCCTTCCCCCTCCTTAGTGTATTATTTTGATCATCATAAGCAAAACACGTAGATTTTTATATATATACTAGGTATATAACTCGCGCTATGCCCGAGTCTGTATTTATATTTTAGTTTATTTTTTTAGTTACTATCTTTAAAATTATTAAAAATTATATATATTTATAGAAAATTTCATTTATATAAGAGAATTTAATATATAATGTGTAATTTATCCTATTTTTATTTATAATTTTTTAAAACTATTAGGTAAAATAATAACAATGACACCTATCGAATTATCTAAATTTGACGTACATATACATTTCATTTAGAGAAATATAATCTTGCTAACATTTTGGTATAATTTTCTGTTTTCCATAGAATTTCTATAGTTCTTATTTTCTTGAAGATTTATGTGTCCAAATATTTAGTTTTTTATTGAAAGTCTTATTGATGTTGTGTACCACTGTATATATAATCCATGATTCATGTTGATTCACATTTAATTTTGTTAGGAAGCTGTAATGATCATGCAAAACTATTTTTTCCTACTGCATCATGTCTTCCAAGAGTTTTATGTTATATTTTTATTCAGTTTTCATTGTTTTAATTGTTAAATCGAGTTGTTATAATGATTACTTTTTTTATATACATATATTGTTAATTGTTAATTTTTTATTTAACTTTTAAATTTTTAAACCATATTAACATTTTCTGATTTAATAAATATGTTGATTTGGATCAATCAGATTGAATTTACTTTTTTTGTTGGACATAATTTGTTAAATTAACTTTTAATGTTTTAATTATACTTAATAATTTTTGGTTTGATTTAAAAGCTGATGTGAACCAATTAAATCAAGTTTTTCCGTCATAATCATACTTAACAATTTTTATTTAATGAATATGCTGATGTGAACCAATCAGATTGAGTTTTTTAATCCCTCAATGCACTATGCCATCAACTTTTATATATTACTAGGTATATAACTCGCACTACATGAGTCTGAATTAATAGTTTGATTTAATTTCTTTTTAGCTACTATCTTTTATATTATTAAAACTATAATATATTTATAGAAATTTTTATTTATATTTCTATTTATAAAATTTTGAAATTTATTAGGTAAAATAATAACAATGACACATATCGAATTATCCAACTTTGACGTACATATACATTTAATTTAGAGAAAAAATTTCTTGCTAAGATATTGATATTTTTTTGTTTACCAGAGAATTCATATAGTTATTTTTTCTTAAAGGTTTATGTGTTCAAATAAGTAGTTTTTTATTGAAAGTCTTATTGATGTTGTGTATCACTGCATATATAATCCATGATTTATGTTGATTCGCATTTAATTTTATTAGGAAGTTGCAATGATCACACAAAACCATTTCTTCCCTCTCCACCATGTCTACTAAGAGTTTTGGCTTATATTTTTATTTAATTTTCATTGATATTTTTTTTTACAGTCTAATATTTTATAATTTTTGTTTTCTAACTTGTAGGATCGGTGGTGTGGAGTCTTTGCATCACTGTTTTTATCTTTTGTGTGCAATATGCATGCTTTTATTTGAATATTTTATCTACATATATCAATTTAAGTTTTTGATGTTTTTTTAACATAATTTTCTTTCCTATTTGTTACTTAAGCTTTTTTATTTTATTTTGATTTTGCCATCTATAAAATGAAATCAATGTTTTTCTTTTCTTGTCAATTAATTTAGAAGTTAGAATTTTCCTAATTTATATTATAAGTTTGAACTTTTATGCTATTGGTTTTTTTTTTGTTATTTTAACTATTTTGAAAACAAATTTCTATTTTATTTTTAAGGATAATATTTTTGATTTTTTTACATAATTTTCTTTTCTATTTGTTACTTAACTTTTTTATTTAATTTTCTATTTTTAAAACGAAATTAAGGTTTTAATCATACTTAACATTTTTTTGTTTAATGAATATGCCGATGTGGACCAATCAGATCGAGTTTTTTAATCTCATGTGGATGTCCTCAGTGCACTATGCCATCAACTTTTGTATATTATATGATTAGCATAAAGTATCATTTTTGGTTAGTTAAGTTTTGTGTTAATTTTCTAAATAATTACACCAAATATCAAGTTTTAGATGACTTTTTCTTTTGTTAATTTAACATGAATATTTTTTTTGTAGTATTGATATACTTAAATAACAATTTTATATGTTTCTATAAAAATTTAATCTTAATATTTTTAAAAAAAAATAAATTACTCATTTAAAATATATATGCTAAATTGTTTTTAATTTAACTTTTTCGTTATTGATTTACATATTTGTTTTTGTTAGTTTAGTTTTTGTGAGAATGAATTTCTATTTTTTTTTACAAACATTATAGATTTAGATTTTTGACTTAAATTTTTTTTATTTAGTTAAAAAAATTATCTTAATTTTCTATTCTACTGTGATAATTTTATATTTTTGCATGTTATAATTTATTTAAATTATTAATTATATTTAATATTTTTTATGTTTAATGAAAAACGCTGATATAGACCAATCAGATTGAGTATATATGTCATATGAAGACGCTCTCTTTGGCCTAAGACATCAACACGGATCACAACTAATATATTTTAAATTAGCAGTTCAAATTTTAATTGCTTGTCGTGAATATAATTTAAAAGTAATTTAATTATGGTTTTAAATACAGTTTTTAATTATTTTATTCAATATATTTGATTTTTCTTTCATAATCTATTTATATTTTAATTTAATTTTTATTGTTAATAGAAAAATAAGATCTATTTTCAAAACTGTTTTTTATTAATAAAAAAACTTAAAATTTAGAAACTTTCCTAATAACAACAAAAACAGAATTAATTAAAATTTAAAAAAATTTCTTATAACAATTAAAACGAATTAATTAATTTTAATATAATATATAATTAACTAAAGATAATGATGATGTGTACCAATAGAATTGAATCTTTAAATCCTATGTAGACATCTTTAAAGACATTTAGCATCAACTTTTATTAGTAATAGATATGATGATTTATAACTTCTGAATATCTATTTAGAATTAGTTTCCTTCAACTATTAGTTTGTACGATTATTTAAAATTTAATAAATAAAAGAACTAAATTTGATATTAAAGTGTGGTAAACTTAATTTTTCAAGTAAGTGGATAACATGTCGTATGTGTGAAACAAAAAGCGGATGTTACAATTGTAGTTTATCTCTAAAGTGAAAATTACTTTAATTTTTTCCATGGTAGATTTCGCTATGATCAAATCTGAATAATGTTGTAAGATCTTTATAACGTGAGAAATAAATTAAGCTCACCAACTCAACACAATGTTCTCTTCAAACTAAGAAAATACTTAATAATTATATGTTCACCAACGGGAAAAATACAATTATTGAAAGTTAAAAAGGAAATCACAAGGCGTTTATATAGCCTAAGTAATGAAAAGTTTATTTGTAAAGTTGCAAGTACATCGATCATTTGCGATGAAAAGCCTGAAAATTGGGTGATCCATCTGATCCGACTGACCTAAATTTGTTCTGCTAAATGGACGTTGAACTCTGTATACTAGTTTAGAGTTTAGACCAAGTAAAATCCAACCTAACTATAATTTGTTTTTTTTTTTGAAGAAAAGGTTCGACTTTCACAACAACTTCGGAGAGAAACAAAATTGGAAGTAATTGCACATTCTTTTCAATTCCTCGAAAATTCTACAAAAACAGGAATCAGTGATGACCATTAATCTCATGATCGTGGGTTAGATCAGTAGTTGCAAGTCACACAACTCGAACATATGTTTATAATCCTATGTCACCAATTGAGAAAGTAAAAGAAAAAAATTTCTCAATTCAAAGATCAAAACTAGAAAGAGCATCAAAGCCATTACATCAATAACATCAAGTGTGTATTCAATGTTCAAAAAATCGCTAGACAGCACCTAATCGTTCAATAGAGGTCTAGCGCCTAACCGTAAAAATCGGGGTTTAATCGGGGCCTAGACGTTTATTATTTGTTTTTATATTTTTATAATTTTTATTTTAAAATGTTATGTTAGATTTATTTGGTATAGTCAAATTCTCAAATTGAATATCATCTATATTAAAAAATGAGAAATTTAAATTAGTTTTTACTAATTAATTATATTCTCTTGTAAAAATTTAGTAAATATGTAAAGTTAATTATATAAAATATGGCTAAAACCAGAGTTGAAACAGATCAAAATGAGTAACAAAATTAACAAAATAAATAAGAGATTTAAAAACTGAAGTTTTAAATAGAGAAAATAAAGTAGAGTAACAGAAAGAGTTAAGTAGAAACATTGATATAATTAAACCTTAATCACGTTTAGATTTTGCTTTTTGTTTTTATTTAACTAAAAAAAATTATTTGACTTTGTAATACGATGTCGTAATTAGGAAACCAGCAGTTAATTAAACAATTTAATTAAATACTAAACCAGATATTAAGAAATCTAACCAATTTTAACCGAAATAAACCATTTAAACTGGGTTTCCGATTTAACATACCAATTTAAGGAAAATCGTTTCGGAACTATAGGTTTAAGTGCCTAGACGGACGTCTAGACGGGGACTAGACCGAGTTTTTGAACATTGTGTATATTATATAATCATCAATCATGAACCGGTGCCTCATCAACGGTACTGCAAAGACGAGAAAACAAAACGAGAATGAACAATGATGCAAAAGAATGGAACAAATACAAGTCATGGAGATGCAAATCAGCATAATATGTAATTGAATTTTACCTTGATGAATCCAACCTCCTTGGCATTGCTGCAGAAACACTGTCTGCAGCAGTTTAGACCATGCTTCCTAATCAGCCCGTGTGAGGAATATAAAGTCAGGATACATAACACGGCTACATAAACATAATATAAAGTCAGGATCTTTACTGCAAAGTATAACACATAGCTAATCTCATACATAACAAGCTAATCTCACATAAGTCATATACATAAATCTCATACATAAGCCATATACACAAATCTCATACATAAGCTAATCTCACAGAAGCCTAATACAACACATAGCTAATCACATACATAATAAAATAATCTCACAGAAGCCAAATACAATACATAGCTAATCACATACATAATAAACTAATCTCATAAAAGCCAAATTCAAAATACATAATAAAATAATCTCACAGAAGTCAAATTAAATACATAGCTAATCACATACATAATAAGCTAATCTCACAGAAGCCAAATTCAAAATCTCCTACATCAGCTAAAGTCACAGAAGCGATACACAATCTTATACATAAGCTAATCTCAGAAATACCAAATACACAATCTCATACATGAGCTAATCCCACAGAAGCCAAACATATAATTTCCTATATAAGCTAATCTCATAGAAGCTAAACATAATAGCATACATAAGCTAATCTCAAATAGAATATATTGAAATGTCACACATCGATAGTTTGGTTGAATTGTAGATAATATATATAGTGTGAGGCAACCCTCCACTTCTGAGCTAGCTTTTGGGTGTGAGTTAGGCCCACTACTAATATGGTATCAGAGCCTAAAGGTTCCAACTATTTTGATTGTGGCTCATACTCATAATTTCACGCTTCAGATATCTAATCTTGAGCGTGAGGGAGGTGTATTGGAATGTCCCACATTGATAGTTTGGTTGAATTATGGATAATATATATAGTGTGAGACAACCCTCCACTCTTGAGCTAGCTTTTGGGTGTGAGTTAGGTCCACTACTAATAGAACAACAATACAAAATGAAAAACAAGTCTCTAACAAGAATTTACGAAATCAAAAACTCTTGGAAACTTACCAATTCAATAACAAGTCCAAAACTCACTACGAGATCATTTAAGCCAACACAATCAAAGTTAATCGGATTCATTCATCAGAGGTTATAAGGAATCTTGCGCAAGTTCAAACGAGAAACAAATTCTTCTAGGAAACAAACAAATCAAAGAAAAATGCGAAAGATGAAGATAGTTGATTACCAGGTGCGAGATCCAGGGCCGTACTTCTTCCGATGTGAATTCTATATCGCGGCGAAACCCATTTCGTCGATTGGAAGAACAAACGGCAAATGAGAGACTCTTCAAAACCCTAAAAGATTTGTTTCGTTGAAGGAGAAAGCTGAAATTTTGAGCTGGAATGGGGTAATTAATCCTGCTTGTTCTCTGTGTTTGGATCCTCTGGAAACAAGAGATCATTTATTCTTCAAATGTCCTTTTTCTCTGGAAGTATGGTCAAAGCTCACTAGGAAACTTTTCAATTCTTTTTTCTCAGCAGATTGGCAACACATGCTCGACTATGTGGCAGACAAGAGGCTAGACAGAATCTAAGGTCTTCTCACTCGCTATGTTTTCCAGATTTCAGTATATAGCCTGTTGCGAGAGAAAAATGCTAGACGCAATGGAGAAGACCCCTCTACTCCGGCTGCCATCATTCGACTCATAGACATACAAGTTTGATGCCGTCTCTCCTATATTCGCGAGTTTGGAGATACAACATACGAAGAGTCTCTCCAAGTGTGGTTCAAAGCTCAAATGTAGGCCAGAAGAACAAAGTCCCCTCTTTTATAATAAGCTGTATAATCTATCGTATAGATAAATATAAATAAAGACAAAAAATTTATACCCACATAAATTGAGATACTGAACAAAGAAACGAGAGAGAGAGAAAGAAAGAAGCTTATACTGCTTTTATATTGAGAGAATAAGTTGTTTTACAATCGAACGAAATCGTTCATTTATATAGAAGTTAAAAGAGAATTTTAATGTGTGTGCATAGTGACGTTTGCTCCATAATTTATCACGTTTTACAGACAGCGTGTTTTTGTGATTTTGCACATCTTCTTTTGCTGACTTTCGTAACACTCCCCCTTGGAGACCAATGTCACTACCGCTTATTGCTTAACGTCTTTGTTGCCTCGCTAAAAACCTTTCTAGGAAAACCTAGTGGGAAAAACCATAGCTAGGTAAAACGAGTACAACCACATAAGCTCCCCCTCGAATGAGAAGGTTGTTATCTTTATAGGTCTTGTTGCTAACGCATTCCGATATTATAGACATGCTTTCTGAACACAGTGGTTGGCAATGATTTTGTGAAGAGATCGGCTGCACTGTCACATGATCGGACATATCTTACTTCAATTTCCTTATTCTTTTCGAGCTCCTGAGTGAATGAAAAGAACTTTGGAGGGATATGTTTGGTTATATCACTTTTGATGTATATTTCCTTCGTATGAGCAACACATGCGGCGTTGTCTTCATACAAGATAGTTGGCTCCGTATTAACGTGAACTCCACTGCTTGATCGAATGTGTTGGCTTATTGACCTTAACCATACACATTATCTACTTGCTTCATGAAGTGCGATGATCTCAGCATGGCTTGAAGAAGTGGCCACAAGCATCTGTTTCTGAGAACGCCAAGATATAGACGTGCCTCCAATTGTGAAAAAATATCCTGTTTGAGATCTGGCTTTCTTGCGTCTGCAAAACCAACCATTAGTCCATCTGAACTTTTAGGGTAAAACAAACCTAAATCAGTAGTCCCTTGAATGTAACGGAAAACATGTTTTAATCTCATTACAATGTCTTCGTGTAGGGGATGAACTGAGTCTTGCTAGAATATTAACAGCAAATGATATGTCATGTCGCATACAATTTACAAGGTACATAAGAGCTTCAATTGCACTTAGATACGGTACTTCATGACCAAGTATCTCTTCATTTTCCTCATATGGTCGGAATGGATCATTTTCAACCTTAAGTGATCTAACGATCATATGGGTACTTCGAGGAGTTGCCTTATCCATGTTAAAGCATTTTAACACTCTTTTGGTATGTGTGGAAAAAATATCATTATTAGAATGTTCAATTTGTAGGCCTAGGCAGTATTTTTTCTATCCGAGATCTTTCATCTCAAATTCTCCTTTCAAATAATTTGATGCCCTTTGTATTTTCTCTTGAGTTCCATTAATGTTAGATCATCAACATATACCGTGATTATTACAAATCTGGATGTTGTTTACTTGATGAAAACACATGGGCATATTGGATTATTCACATATCCTTCTTTCGTTAGATGCTCACTAAGACGATTGTATCACATACGTCCATATTGCTTTAACCCATATAAAGATCTTTGCAATTTTATTGAACATAACTCTTTGGGTTTGAAACTTAATGCTTCTGGCATCTTAAATCCATCAGGAATCCTCATATAGATATCAATATCTAATGTTCCATATAAATATGCTGTAACGACATCCATAAGATGCATCTCTAGATTTTCATCAGCTTTTAGACTCATCAAAAAACTAAATGTGATTGCATCCATAACGGGAGAGTATGTTTTCTCATAATCAATTCCAGGTCTCTGAGAAAAACCTTGGGCTATGAGGCAAGCCTTATATCTCATAATTTCATTTTTCTTATTTCGTTTTCGGAGGATAACCCATTTATTTCCAACTGGTCTTACATCTACAGGTGTGAGCACAATAGGTCCAAATACATTACGCTTATTAAGTGAATCAAGTTCTACTTGTATAGCGTTCTTCCATTTTATCTAGTCATGTCTCTTTTGACATTCATACATGGACTTAGGTTCTGGATCTTCGTTTTCCTCATCTATGTCTTTAGACACAAGGTATGAAAAAACATCGTCAACATCATCCATCTCATTTTGATTCCATTTCTTTCGATTATGTATGTAATTGATAGAAATCTCATGATTTCTTTCGGTTTCATGATGTTCTGCATTATCATTTATTTCATGATTTTCTTCCACCAAAATATTTTCCGCTATTTTGGGTGTGCTCTGCATTTCAGCTTCCTTTTGCTTTCTAGAATTTTTATCTTTAGAACCGACAGGTCTACCACGCTTCAAGCGTGTTCTGGACTCATGTGTATCTTCTTCTCTTTCATGTTCCTGTGGTATTTCAATACGAGCAGGAGCATTTGCAGCTAATATATGGGATTTAGTTACCGTTTTGGTATCTGCAAATGCATCTGGCAGCAGATTGGCTATACTCTGCAAATGCATAATTCGTCAAACTTCTAGTTCAGACTATTTGGTGGGAGGATCAAGGTGTAATAATGTTGGTAAACTCCATTTTATATCCTTTCCCATTTCTTTATTTTCTCCCCCTAGAACCGGGAATACATTTTCATCAAAATGACAATCGGCAAACCGTGCCGTAAATACGTCTCCTGTTTGTGGTTCTAGATACCGTATAATTGAAGGAGAATCATAACTGATATATATTCCTAACCTTCTTTGTGGTCCCATCTTTGTGTGTTGTGGTGGTGTTACTGGTACATATACCGCAAAACCAAAGATTCTTAAATGAGAAACATTTGGTTCTCGACCAAATGCTAACTGTAATGGAGAATACTTATGATGCACACTTGGCCTTATCTGAATGAGTGCTTCTGCATGCAAAATGGCAGGTCCCCATACAGAGGTTGGAAGTTTTGATCTCATGATCAGTGGTCTTGTAATCAATTGCAAACGTTTCATTAATGATTCAGCCAAACCATTTTGTGTGTGAACATGAGCAACAGAATGTTCAACTTCGATTCCCATTACCATACAATAATCATTGAATGCTTGGGATGTGAATTCACCAGCGTTGTCTAATCTAACTTTTTTAATGGGATAATCAGAAAACTGAGCTCGCAATTTGATTATATGAGTAAGAAATCTCGCAAATGTCATATTTCGAGATGATAATAGACAAACATGTGACCATCTACTGGATGCGTCAATTAGTACCATTAAATATTGGAAAGGTCCACATGGTGGATGTATTTGACCACAAATATCTCCTTGAATTCGTTCAAGGAACTTTGGTGATTATGTATCGATTTTGGTTGGCGATGGCCTTATGATCAATTTTCCAAGAGAACATGCAGCACATGTCTTTTTATTTCCCTGATATATCTCCTGGATTTTCAGTGAATGACCATGTGAGCTCTCTATGATTTTACGCATAATTTAGGTGAATGGGTGACCGAGGCGATCATACCATAATGTGAAATCATCTGGATTTCTATTGATCACGAGATGAGATTCTACCGCATCTTTATAAGTATGATGTAAACCGGAAGAAAGTTCGGTGAACTTTTCAAATATAAGTCTTTTGCCTGATTTATTAAAAGTTATGTACATATACTTCTTTCCGCCCACAGTTGCAGACTGGATGTCATATCCTTGAAGGTATATGTCTTTAAAACTCAACAAATTTCTTCTAAAATTTGGAGAATACAAAGCATTATTTATGGAAAAATTTGTCCCATTCGGCAACGTAAAGTTGGCTTTACCAGTATCTTCAATCAAGTCTACAGGACCGGAAATTGTATTGACAATGATATTTATTGGTTTCAAACTGTCTCAGAATAGTGTGCGTCCTTCCACAATCTGGTATACAAGTTTCTCGAATCCATTTCTTGGATATTGTTCCATCTGTATTGCGATCCATTTCTGTAATTAACATAAACATCAATAAATCTAAAATAATTTTTATTAATAGAAAGGTAACACACAATAATTATACATTATATTGTTGTTGGAAACAACATTATTTGTTTTAAAATTGAAATCGTAATAATTATACATGGCATCATTGGAGAATATTCAGTAGTCTCTCTACAAGCATTTCAGTTATTCCCGATATCGGCCTCGTCGAATTCATTTGCAAAGTCGAGGGAGTCGAGGTACGATGTACCCTCGAAGTTTTCAGTGAGGTTCACTTCTTTCCCTTTGCTTTTTGTGGCCTCTTGGTACAACTTACAAAGATGTGGAGGGGTTCGACATGTTGGGGACCAATGTCCTTTGTACCCACATCTGTAATATACATCCTCAAGCTTCTGTGTGGGGGTTACTTGGGTTTCCTTCCCTTTGGAATGTATTTCGGATCTAACCCATTTGTTTGATCCCCTCCCTCTTGAGTTGTAACCTCTCCCATGTCCGCGATTAAATCGACGGCCACAACTTTGATAGGTTTGACTTTTCCTTGGATTTTCCGCATCAGTTGCATTCACTTCCAGGAATGCTTTGGTTCACGTAGGTCGAGAATTGTGATTTTTGATGAGGAGCTGGTTATTCTTCTCAGCTAGCATGAGTGTCACAATTGGTTCAAAGAACCTTGTGTATCCGCACTTTCTATATATTTGTTGCAAGAAAGGGTGCTCCTTGTGAAAAGTGACATAAGTCTTCTCGAACATTTTTGCTTCTGTGATGGGCTTTTCATAATACTTTAACTGTAAGACTATCCCCAGCATAGCATAATTGTATTCATCCACTTTCTCAAAGTCTTGGAACCTCAGGTTTTTCCACTCTTCTAGAGCATGAGGGAGGTTGACATCCTTCTGGTTGTCAAACATTTCTTTCAGGGCTCGACACAACTCTGCTGGGTCTTTTATGTGCGCATAGTCATGCGTTACATTTTCATCCAAATGCTTCCTCAGGAAGATTATCGCTTCCGCCTTGTCTGGGGCAGGCGCTTCATTTCTAGCTTTTATTGTATTAGTTAACTTTTTCATTTCCAGATAAAGTTCCACGCTGGTAACCCATGCTATGTAGTTTGCTCCAGTTATTTTGAGAGCCGCGAACTTAAGCTTCTCAATTTTTACCATTTGGTTTTCTAAAATAAAATGACAAATAAAATAATTAGAAAAGTGATTTTATCAAATTTAGATAATGTAAGGTACCAGAATAAATAACGAGATTGCAAGGAAAACTAATGCATAAAACATCAAAATGAAAATCATCACATATTCTTGCAGAGAGAATTCTCCGATGAGGAAACTATAAAAGGCAACCAATTACAAAAATTAAAAAGAGATGAAGCATTTTTGTTTTATGAAAACAAATTATTTTGTTTGAAGAAGGTTTTGAGTGAAGTGAATGAATGAAATATGAGAGTATTTATAGATGAAGAAAATCTGTTCATTAGCCGTTAAGTAGCCGTTTGAAAAAGATGAAAAAAAAAATTATTTGTTACCGTTGACTGGTAAAGAGTTAAAAATAAAATCAATCCGAAATGTTAATGAACAATCAGTTAAATCTATCAATTTCATATGAAAAGTATATATACAGATGACCGAGCCTCTATTTATAATAACCATAATATATATAAACATTTAACAGTGATATTATGGTGACTCAATCATCCATGTTTAGACAATAATTTAATTATAAGACGGCTTAGCCGTCCAACATAATATGAACAGTAAATAAATGATTATGGTGCATTTAGTATCCACGATATAATGATTATAAAATATTAACAAGACGATAAACCGTCCACTATAATATTAAGTAAATAATGGTGTGTAAAACAACCACTTAATCATAAATAAGTTTATAGGTGACATACCGCTTGTTATAGTAGTGTATATAATATACATATATATTTAGCTGATCGTGCTGATAACGTGTTATAATAGGCTATAAAATATATCGTATAGATAAATATAAATAAGGACGAAAAATTTATACCTGCAGAAATTAGAATACTCAAAAAAGAGACGAGAGAGAGAAAAGAGCTTATACTGCTTTTGTATTGAAAGAATTAATTGTTTTATAATTGAACGAAATCGTTCGTTTATATTGAAATTAAAAAGAGAATTTTACTGTGCATGCATAATGATGTGAGCTCCATAATTTATAATGTTTTACAGACAACGTGTTTTGTGACTTTGCGAATCTTCTTTTGCCGACTTTCGTAACAGCCTCTATATTAAATTTAGTTCAGTTTCTAGCTCAATTTAAAGATGCATTTGAATGTAAAAACTATTTTGTCGAATTAGTTTGACATATAATTTTTTTTAAAAAAGCTGTAATTTTGTATCAACAGATTCAAAGAGCGAGATTATTGAAATTTATATATATACAAACAGGTTAAATTCTCTAGGCTTTAACCCATTAATAGCCCAACATTAGCTTTCTCCTTTCTGAAGTATGTCTTTCTCTCTCTCTCTCTGTAATGCAATGCCCTACCACTGGCCACCAATTCCATCACCTTCCACGGCGTAACGAGTTTTCAGTAATATCGTATTCATCTGTATTAAAATTTTCTCATGTCTTTTTTATTTCATCTTACAAGTCTTACGTGAGTTAGGTCTTACAGATACATGTTTATTTGGAAGGTTCTTCGAGTATAGTAATATTAACGGGCAGTTTCTTGATCAAAACCAAATGACTGATAAAACAACTAAAAATATCGTTGCTACAAAGAAGATATAAGCTTTAAAGACAAATACATCTGTCTTTTGAGAGGTAAAACAAAACAAAAATCTAAGAGTTTCAAAGCCAATTTATCAATGACGTCATCATGTTTGTGTATCATTCAAAAAAACTGGTTCCTCATCAACGGTACTGCAGAGAAGCAAAAAAAAAAAAAAAAAAATCGGAATGAACAATCACACTAATGAATGATGGAAAAGTAAACAAGCCGATGAAGCATATTAAAATGTACCTTGATGAACCCAATCTCCTTGGCATTGCTGCGGAAACATTGTCTGCAGCAGTTAAGACCGTATTTCCTGATCAGCCCGTGTGAATTCCCGCAAACACGGCTACATAAAGACAAGAATTTCATAACACAAAGTCAGAATCATGGGCTCATGGCTACTGAATATAACACATAGCTAATGGCACATAGTATAGTGGAGACAGAATCCAAATACAACAATCTTATAAATAAGTTAAACTCATACACACACTAACACACATCGAAGTAAATCTCTCTCTTTATATCGCTAACTTACACAGACAGGACTTTCAAACTTACTATTTCAGAAACTAGACTACCAAAATATAAACATCGCTAATCTCATACTTGGTAATCCCACATGGTGAAGACAGAAGTCAAGTACAACAATCTAATACATAAGCTAATCTCAGTCACATGGAGCATCAAAGCTCTCTTTCTATTGATATCTTCATACAGACCTAGAACTTGTACATTACAATTTCAGAAACAGAATCCAAATACAACAATCTTATAAATAAGTTAAACTCATACACACACTAACACACATCGAAGTAAATCTCTCTCTTTATATCGTGAACTTACACAGACAGGAGTTTCAAACTTACAATTTCAGAAACTAGACTACCAAAATATAAACATCGCTAATCTCATACTTGCTAATCCCACATGGTGAAGACAGAAGTCAAGTACAACAATCTAATACATAAGCTAATCTCACATGGAGCATCAAAGCTCTCTTTCTATTGATATCTTCATACAGACCTAGAACTTGTACATTACAATTTCAGAAACTTGACTAAACACATAGCTAATAGCACGTGTAACAGATATAATCATAGCAATAAATCACTTTGTCTCGATCTACCAATATCCTCTTTCTACATTTCTTAAAAAGACTCTGACTGTCTAAGCCAATAAAGTATCAAAGACGCAATCAGGAATCAAATCAAAAAGCCAAGAAATTTTATGCAATCAAAACTATTCCCTGCGATCGACACAGACCAAACACTCATTACACAGTTCGAACAAGAAAATCGAGATGGCGTTCGAGAGAAGATGAAGATGACTGATTTACCATGTGCGAGATCCAGGGCCGTACTTCTTCGGATGAGAATTCCATATCCCGGCGAAACCCATTTCGTCGATTGTTCACAAACGGCGATGGAGACTCTTCACTTCAGAACCCTAGAAATCGTTTCGTTGAAGGAGAAGCTGAATTTTATATCTGATAATTAAGGGTCAGATTCTAAAGGCCCATTAGGCCCATTATTGACCTAATTTTTTTTTTTTTTTTTTTTAGCTTTTAACTTGTTCGTCTCCACAGGTTATGTTTTGAGGTCTTCTTCCCTCTTTGATCCATGGCCACTCGACCTCTCATCTCTCTGCAACTCCTTTCATCATCTTTCTTAAACCCAACTCCGAAATTTCTCTTTTTACCCAATTTCTCCACTAAAAAATTGGAACTTTGTAGACATCACCACAAAACCAACAAATGCTCAAGGACAAGTGTTCACTGCTCGTCTAATCTCATAATCAACCCTTCGGTTCTCTTCCTAAGCGGCTTCGATGGCGGTGGATTCGTCGATACACAAACCTTCATTGTCACCATCAGTCTCGTCGTTGCCATTGCCCTCTCTCTCTTCCTCGGCTTCAAGGTGAAATTCACAAGGAACCCATTTCGTAATCTCTCCCTAAGATCTCTCTAATTCGTGGAAGTCTCGTTTTTTGGATTCTTTCAGGGAGACCCAGTTCCGTGTGAGAGATGTGGTGGAAATGGTGAATTACATTCTCTCTTTTCTTGCGTTTTTGATATGTAAATGATAAAACTTTAGTCATATGAGAGGATAAATCATACCAATTGATGACTCTGTATTGAATTGGGTTAGAAAGAAATTAAGTGTACTGTGTAGGATACTTCGATTGGATGCTTTAATTTTATGCATTGTTCTATTAGCATGTTTTAAGTTCATCTCTTGTGTATTTATGGGTTTGCGCAAAAAGGTGGAACGAAATGTGTTTTCTGTCAAGAAGGTAAGATGAAGGTGGAATCTGGAATGGTTAACTGCAAAGTTTGTAAAGGCTCAGGTACTATTACCTACTAAAACCCATCACTTTTTGTGCTTAATAGTTTCTTACTTTCTTAACAAAATTATCAGTTAGTTTTGTTTCATTAAAATGTAGGTTTGATTTTCTGCAAGAAATGTGGAGGTTCTGGATATTCTCGCCGTTTATAGATAAATATATTTAAGTCCTTGCTATTGCAATGAAAATGTTTTCGATATTGGTCTTTTGGATTATATGATAACATTTCTAACTTGTTTATAGTCATATAACAATACTGTGGAACACTCCCATGTTTAAAATGTCATCCACGATCAGTTCAAATACGAGCAAGTGATTGTTGCCCAAAAACCAAAAATAAAGAATTTCCTTAAAACAATTCTAACAAGCAAGTTAATCTTATAGGATCTTAAGACACAAGAAGGAATTTTCCTTATTACATATATCTCATTACTCCAGTTATGACAACTTCCGTGATTACATTGCTCTAGCTATAGCAACTTCTGTAATTACAATGCTTTAGAACCTTCTGTTATGTACGAGTATATATATCATTGTAATTTCTTCATATTGAATTAGATTAAAACCCTACAGATATTGGATTTGACATTTGACGAGTAGTGTTGTGAAAACAGTTTTAAATCTTCATCAACAATTTAACTTTACCCATTTTTTTTGGTAATGGGCAGGAGACGAGAGTCTCCTACAAATTATTAAAAGAAGTAAACAACAAAAACGTTTTACACCCTCACAAGTCGAGGATGAGACAACCCAGTAGCGACGAAACACTATCAGGCACAGACTCAAATGAATGAAAGCCTAAAGGCAAAGAAAACGCATAGTTAGCTAGATCATCCGCTAGACGATTAGCTTCTCTATATCTGTGATGAATCTGGATTATCCAGACCTTTGAAAGAGCTGTAGCACAAACATGCTAGAAAAGATAGCGGATGCGAGTCGCTCATACCTGTCTGTAAGAACCCAATTATTATCTAGAAGTCCACCTCTAACTCAAGCCGGGTAACATGACGCTCACAAGCTATGTACAAGCCGTAGTAGACCCCCCCCCCCCCCCCCCCCCCCCCCCCCCCCCCCCCCCCTAAGCCAATGGTGCCGAGCAAAATCCAATATTGAGAACCCACCAAGCCAATCACCATTTTAGATCTCCCGGAACCCCTCCCGCTGTGGTACGACCAGGGTTTCCATGTAATGTTCCATCTGTATTTAGTTTTACCCAACTACCATGTGGTACTCCATGATATCTGCCTCTCTACTTTCAGAACTGCATTGTGATTCTCTCTGAATTTTTCATGTGCGGCCAGCACTTCATTGGCAAGGTCTTTGACGAATCATACTCTATTTCGACATTTACCAAACCCCAAAAATACAGGGAATATTTTAATTATATATATAAATCAAAAACAGTTAATAAAATATGTGAAAAACTAAAAGTATTTTTGCAAATAAACATTTTAAATAATTATTTTTTTAAGTTTAGCTTTATCTTTTTAGAAATACAGATTAAACCATAACTTTTAAGTCAATCTGCAATATAATCCTAGTCTCTATTGATAACGTTGCAAATATGGATGATATTTCAAAATCAAACGGATTGTAAAATGCACCGTTTTGGAATTAGTAAAAAAAACCAATAAGTTCAAAACTAAAGTATCTTTCTAAAAGAATAAAACAAAATAACATAAAAGTACATTAAGAGCAAACTCAGTTGTGAGATACAAATGATATCTAACAAATATAAAATTAATAATTTTAATATCATTTAATTAAATAATTAAATTTCAAACTATTAAAAAATTATAATCAATCAAAAACTAACAAGATATGGAAACATTTCCTAACTTTTTTGTTTGGGTTGGCTACCGTCAGCCCCTCAAACTATACATTATCTACTTAATCTCTCCCAAACTAAAGACCTCTGCCTATTTCCACCCAAACAATTTTTTTTGTTTGCATATTCCCCCAAATTCAATAGAAATTAAAATCGCAATCAATTTACAAAATCGCATTGTGGTTAGATTGCGTTTTGGGGGGAAATATGCAGAAAACAAGTTGTTTGGGTGGGAATGCAGAAGTGTAGTTTATGGATACTTTGCTATCTCTCTCCTCGTTTTTTTTTATTTTTTTCAATATATTTATTGTCTAGATACCCTATTAAAAATGGACTTAAATAAATAATTATCCAAAGTTTCTTAACCATGGAGGCAGTCCTAGGGTTTTGGAGACACAAACAGCGATCCCAAGATCCATAATCTGTCAACATACTCAACGATGGATCTGGATTATCTCAATGTGGCCTCTGCATAATATGCTTCTTTTGTTCTCAAAGCTCTATTGCGACATAGTTAGTGAGTTTTTCCGCTTGGATCCTTGCGTGTTTGGCTCTGTTTATTTGGATTTGTTGACTGGGAATTGTGGAGAACGATCTGATCTACTCTAGCGAAGGTTTCTAGCGTTTGCTACGGGTCTCCATTATTGTCTAAGATCTACTGCTTTAACGATATCAATCTCTAGTCTTGTACTACAGTTTTGATTGATATTGTGTGAGGGAAGAAAGCGTTTACGAGTCTTATCTACTAGTAATACATTCACGGGCATAACTTGAAATGAGTTCAGTATCGAGGTTGTTGCAAAAAGGAGGGAGCACCTCGCAGACAAGAACAAGAATATAGCTCCCGGAGGATGACATCACCAAGATTCTGGCATGTGATATGGTGGCTGTGGCTGAGCGCTTTAAGTAAACTCTTATTGGTCGAATGTTTTATCGAGAAGGGCGTACCACGGAAGCCCGTCTGGATCAGCTACCGTGAGCACAGATTGGGGACATGGAGGGAAGAGTAAAGGGAACAAACCTCGGTAATGGAAGGTTTCAATTTGATTTTCAAATGAAGGAAGATTTAATGAATGTCCTTGCAAAACGTTCTTGCCACTTCAACCGTTGGAGTTTTGCACTCGAGAGATGGTGACCATCTACACGTGAGGACTTCCTTTATACGATGTCCTTTTGAATTCGTGTGACGAGTGTTCCGGTCCATTATTGGAACGACGACATCTTTAAAGCCACTGAAAAGCGCTGGGAAGAGTCCTCTGAACAGATGCAAAAAATACAAGACTTCAAGTGTCTATTAACACTAATGGCTCATACAACTCAAAAGACGAGTGGGTTTCCCGAATGGCGATATTGGCAAGATAAATTTTATGTATGAAGGGATTTATTGGTTTTGCTTTTAAGTGTAAGCATAAAGTTAGCTCCTGCCCAGAGATACTTGCAGAGGAGATGATGAGTTACTGTAAGTCTAGAGATGTTTCAGAGGGAAAAATTAACCAAGAGACTTCTATGCTGCCTCCGAATGCTCCAAAGGATACCCTGAAACATACAAGATCTCCACAGAAGGAAGATCGAGAAGAGAGGAACGTACAGTATCAATCAAAAGAGACTAGAATAGCAGCATGGGATCTTTACAAACCTGAGAGATGTTTCTCTGACTTTCAACCCAGTAAGCTCAGAAAATTAAACTAAGGGGAAACCAGAGAAGTGCTGAGTGGTAATGAAGAAAGAAGAAGCTATGAGTCTCAACAGAAAAACAAACTTCCATACCATTCGATCTCTATTTGTCATCTGGAGCAAGACAACAATAAAGAGAGAGATCTCAGGATGAGCCTTAGAGACAAGAGACAAGACCGTAGCAAGGAAGTTTGGAGTAGACTTACCTTGTTTCTTCAGGTTCCCTTCTGAGAATTTGTGAGAGCAATGGCTGATACACAATGTCGAGACATGTAACGCGACCATGAAGATATGAAGAAGAAAACCGGAGAGCTATATTGAGACCAATGGCAAAGGACAATTGATATATCATAGTTTTTATGGTTTTTAACCATGATATAAGTCCTTTTTATTGAGTCTTTTTGGTCTTTTTAGAGTCTTAGAAGAGTCTTTGCAGGTTATAGCATGTCTGAAGCATAACTGGAGATATTGGAGCTTTTTGGAGCATTGCAAGTTGAAGCCACAAAGTATCCAACTCGGGAAGAAAATTATGCATATGGGTGATGCTCGTCACCACTTTTGGTGACGCTCGTCACCCAGAAAGGAAGGGGTCGTGGCTGTTTTCTAAAAGATAGAGGATTATTTGCAGTTTTGGCCCAGAAGTTCTAGTATTTGCAAAAACGCCCCAGATCGTGTTTTAGCTTGTATATTAGGTTTTTCAGCCATTCTTTTGGCAGATATCTTGTATCTTATTATTATCGAGAGCTTTAGAGAGAGAGATTTGTAGAAGAGCTTTTGGAGAGACAAATCAGACTCCTTCAGAGCAGATTTCGAACTCCTTCATCTTTACTTCTTATTTCTTTTATGCAATCTATTCTTTTCATGATGTTTTCTCAAATTACCATGTCTGAGTAGTTTGTTAGTTAAGTTAGGGCTTTCCAAAGGTTGAAGAAGAGTTTGTAGAATTGCTAAACTTATAGGAAATCCATTGGTTCTTCATCTGTGCTTGCACTCATATCGATTTCTTAGACACATCATCTGAATTTCGAAACCCTAGGTTGTTTGATAGATGTGAGAGCATTATTAATCACCTGGACTAGTATTAGATGAGCAAAACGCCCTAGTGCAAAGAGATTTGGCTTAGGAGTTTTGTGAACAATTGAACCTGTTCATCACTGCATGTTTAGATTGTTAGGATTTGCAAAGAGATTTGAAATTCTGTGATTTAAACATAGATAACTTCTGCAATGAGAATTGATTAGTTATATATTTGCGATTCATGTTCTAGACTGTTTTAATTCATTCCTGATTGCATGCATTCTACACTCTCAGATTCAACCTGCGAACTGTCCTGACTTAGCGCCTTCAGCTTTCTGAACTTTAAGAACAGTCTCAAAAACGCCCACTTGCTTTTATTACTTTAGTTATTTCGCATTACATTCATTACTTATCGCTTAGCTTAATCTGAACCTACAATCTTTAGTGTAGTTTACTTACTCCCTTGGGATTCGATAACCCTTTGTACTACGACTGCTTTGCTGTTCACTTGCAGTAGTTTTATTTGAGTAAAACCTGAACCTATCAAGTTTTTGGCGCCGTTGCCGGGGAGTAATAGCTGCCTATCGATTTTTAGTATTAGGATTTTGTCTAAGTTTTAATCTGTTTACTAAC